CCACGGCGCACCCCCAACCCCAGCAAGGGCACAGGCAGGCCCAGCGGTGCAGTCGGAGGGGACTCACAGTATCGACTTACCTTCCAGCAGAAGGAGATCCGGCCTAGGAAAAACAAGACGTGGGTCTCAGAAGCAAAAAAAGCACTGCTTCAGTGCAAAGCACACAGAGCTGCGATGCCTCCAACACCCCCCACCCTCAGACCCCGAGTCGAGAGGACCCCCAGGCAGCACCCCTGCACCTCCTGGCATGGGCAGCAAGGAGGGTTAACCCCATGGCATGTGGGCCTGGACACCAACCTGGCAAACAGGGCTCTGGCTAAGGCCAGTCTCATTCTCCAGCCTCCGGAAAACTCTCTGAGGAGATAAGAGGTTGCAGGGAGGGGTTACTGATTAACACAGAACGACTCTGCGTCCACCTGCCTGCCAGGCTCCCTGCTCCCCTGCGGCCCTCTTGGCTCTGCTGTCCCCCAGAAACAGCCTGTCCCTGCAGGAACCTCAGGCACAGACCTGCAGCCTGGTGGCTTGGCACCCCCAGGGCAGGAGCCCGCATCGGAAGGGCAGGAATAGCCCCTCGCTCTCCCACAGGGCTCCCCTCCCGCAGTTACAGCCACAGCAGTGCCCAGGGGCTTGCTAGGAGCAGCGTCTCCCCAGACCCATTTCTGTCTTGACGCCCAGAACCTGGAGACTTACTTGGTTGTCTGTTGTTGCATCTTGGCATTAAAGCCCAGCCCAGCGAGAATGACGGAGGCCCTGGGGAAAAGGGAGAGAACTGGAACCCAGCGACAGCACCCAACGGCAGAGCACAGTCTGAGGTCTCAGACCCACAGGCACTGCGGGGACTCTGCTGCACGGTTTAAGGCCATTCTGGCACAGGAAAACTTCACGGCACGCCCGAGAGCAGCGCGTGGCTGGGAAATGCAGCCCAGCAGCTCATAGCATCCATGTGAAGTCCCACTGGGGATTCACAAACAAGCTTTCAGCTCTTTGGCCAGGAAAAGAGTCACTGCCACCAACATCCCAGAAAAGTTCCTCAGCCCACCAGGAACCTGGGGAGGTCTGAGAGGAGCAGCAGCAACAATGCAAGCCGTTTGGGGGGGGGAAATATCCCTCCAGCTTTGTGGGGAAGCACGACTACTCCTAACCCAGCAGAGCTGTGACAGAAGAAGAGACATGAAGAGCAGCAGGGAGAGGTCCCTGTCCCCACATGCTGGATTCCATCACCCTTCCATGCCCCAAAACACTGCCCGTGCCAACAGACAGCGGTGCCCACAGGGCGGTCTCACCTTGCTGGGGCCTTGTCTGCCTCAATCTCCTCCAGCTTCGCGTAGATCTGCGACAGCCTGGCACCTTCTGTCCCTTCTCCCCTGGGGCAGGACAAAGAGGAGCGTGCGAGATTGATGGGGGTCAGGGTGTGAGTGCTGGGGGAGGTGGATCTGCCCAGGCAGGACTACGGTGGGCAGGACGCAGCCCCTGCCAGAGCCCTCCCTTTGAGGGGAGAGACCTCAGAACGAGACTTCGTGGTCCAGAAGCCACAGAAGGGCTGGAAACCCAGCGGCAACGCCTCACCTGCCGGCGTTAATCCTGGCCGTCAGATCCCTCTCCTCCCGCAGCAGGCTCTCCCGAGTGGTGTCACACTCCAGCACGCTCTGCAGCGCCGGCGTCTCGTCCCCCGCTACCTCCTGCTCCACGTGGAGGATGCTGATATGCGAGGGGATGCGCAGGCTCCGGCTGGCGATCATCTTCAGCAGCGTGGTCTTCCCCAGCCCGTTCCTGCCCACCAGCCCGTAGCGCCGTCCAAAGGCCAGGTTCAGGTCCGCTCCCGCCAGCAGGACACTAAAGCAAGAGAACAGGCAGGTACCTGGTCAGGCTGCCCCGCGGAGAGGGAGAGAACCGGCAGTCTCCTCCCCAAGCGTATTTCAGGCTGTGCCGGGGCCAAGCAACCATCACAGACTTCTCCTGCCTGAAGCCAGCCGGCTGAGGTGCCCACCTTGCTTCCCACGGCATCTGTCATTTGCCAGCCACTCTCCAGTCCAGTCTCAAGGGCCCACAGTCCAAAGCCCAGCCAAGATCTGTCCCTCCCCACCCGCACTCACCGCTCACCGAAGGACACGTCGAAGTTCTCGATGCGCACATCGTACGACTTGTTCTTGCCCGACGACTCCATGCGAGTCTCCTTCTTGCTGGCAGCTTGGCTGGCAGACGCCTCCTCAAGGACCCTGCGGCCAGGCAGAAGACAGAGACGGAGGCTGGACAGGAAAGCTCTGGTACAGCCAGATCCCAGCCACATTCAGCAGAGTGGAATGGGGATGTCGGAGGCGTCCTCCACACTCACAGAGGGCCAGATGACTTCAGGGAATCCCGCTCCATCCTCTTGTCCTGCTTGGCTTTCAGCCTGGCTTCCGCCTTCTCCAGTTTCTTGGCATTCACCATCTGGGGCACGAAGCAGAGAGTGTAAAGAGAAGAGAGCGTCTTGAGCAAAAGCCCCCAAAGCCCAACGCCAGGAGAAAAGAGATCAATCAACCCCTCATGCCTGGAAGGGAGGGAGGGACGTAGCACAGGGTAACTGGGACAGATTCAAGCACGTTTCGAGGAAGCTAATCGGGCCAGGAAATCACTTCGGGAACGAAGTCCTAAATCAGCTGCTCACACACACCAGTTCTGCCTCAGCTCGGCAAAGGGTTTGCCTGACCCGACGCACAGCCAGTTTCTGTAGTTCCAGGGACCTGGCTCAGCCAAGCCACCTCAACAGCAGCAACCTGCCACCCCCGCGCCTCCTCCGCTACGCCCTGTGCCCACCCTCGCCCAGGACCACGAGGTGTTTCCCTGCCCGACACCTTACACATCAGCCAGTTTGGGGCAAACAGCTCACGCGGTGGATCAATCACAACAGAGACACAAAGTGTTTCATTAAACCCGAAGGCAAGAAGGAGCCAAGTGTTTTACCCCGGCCTCTGGCCTTGGCCAGGCTCTCAGCCCACTCCAGCTTGTTCCTGCGTCAAGCCAAATGCTTGTGGCTGCCCAGGAACGCTCCTAGGTATTTCCAGGCAACTCAGCAGCCACCGGAACACGTTACAGACCTGCACGCTAGA